ATCAATCATCACTTCAAATGTGTTATGTATCGATAAAGATCACACAGTGGGTATTTATGTCAAGTTTTCTGCTATTTTTTTCTTTTTTTCTGATGGCCTCCATTTTGCTTTTCATAATAAATGGGGAAACAATTTTGGACTGCTACTGAGAATTTCACAAGTAAGCATGCCAGGGGAAACTTTTAAGAGTTGGGTTGTTGATTTAGCAGGCAAAAAATATATCCCTGAAAGGTGAATGTTTTTGTAACAACAATTAAGAAAATTATATGGATCGTGTTCTCTCAATGAGTATCACAGGGTTTTTATTTCATTATGTAATCATATTACTTTCATTGTTATTAGGTTGATGAATTCTCATCTCACTTGGATGGCTCTTCAACAATAACATCACCAGAGAGAAAGCAAAAATACCAAAGGTAGGTTTTTTTATCTGGGGTGCAAAATAAATTCCTGGGCTGGGTTCAAAAACAAGTATCAAATAAAAAACAACTTATCATGTCAGTGATAAATTTTCATTACGTGAACAGTGGCATGCCTTTTCTTCTGTTGAACATTGTGCTAAAGAGTGAAAAACAATATTAACTTTGTTTTTTGGTTATATTTTTCTTGTTGAAGATGAGGATTACTAGTTCGTTAAAGTCAATAACTCTGTATTTGTTGCTACTCTAATATTATTGTTAAGTTTTAAGGTGTCATACCAACTATGTTAGTTTTTAATTTTTATTTATTATTTATTCTTGACTTACAGTATTTCACAGTATTTATAAACAGTCTGCTAAACACTAGCCTGCTACGCAGATGTTGTTAGCCCTTGTAGAATCAGACACTATGTAGAATCTATGCAAATGCTATGTCACAAAGCTATGCAAAACCTATGTTAATCACTCATACATTGCTTTAACCAGATCCTATGTTGTTTCTATGCCAGGACTATGTTTTTTGTATCGAAAATGCTATGTTTTCGCTAGTCAAACGGAACCTATTTAAAAGCTATGCAGTTTTTAAAGGTAGGAATAAAGGAAGAAATGACATAGTTTCCACATAGCCTATACATACAGTTTACTTAGCTTGTGGAAAGAGATTTTAGACTTCATAGTCAACCTCATAGAAAAATCATAGAAAATAAATAGCCTTCACATAGGACTGAAATAGAGTTTACATAGTAAAATGGAACAGGGAACAGTTGATTAAATAGCTTTTGAATAGGGTTTGCTTAGAATTTAGATAGCCTAGAAATAGAAAAAACATATGAAAAACATAGCCTTTTTAAAGGTGACATATACTTTGCATAGCATTAAAATAGGAAAACACAGAACAAATAGTCTTTGCATAGGTTTGAAATAGGATTTTAATAGTATTTGAATAGGTAAAACATATCACATACACAAGCTTTAACTAGAGTTCAAACAGAAATTACATAGAATTGACATAGTCTCTTTTGTATGTTGGTTTCGATCTGCTTAAGCAAATGTAGTGTTTAAAATACGTTCGTAAAAATCACCAAAATAGTAAAAATAGTATAAAAATATGAACTAGAATACCTTTTACATTGGTAAGAAATAGGTTTTGAAACGAAAAATTGAAAAACTATGGCAATATAATACCTGACGAACACTAATAGTAACATAAATGCAGTATTTTCATGGAGGTTTCAGAATCGAAACCCCAAGTTTAAGTTTGCTTATCGTGTAGACTTTTTGCTGATGTCGTGCTCTTCAGTGCCATACAGTTTCCGTTTGACTGCAACGAATAAGTGTCTGCAAACAGAAAAGTGGAGATTTTAAGGCAAATGAACATAAAAACAACCTGACGTTTTAGAATTGAAACGAAGGAGTATCAAAGCGTGATCGACCGATCCTTGTTCAGATACGCGAAAAGGGGAGACAACACAGGCAAATCGAAACTTAATTGAGAAAAACATCACTTACCAACGTTAGGAATACTTTTTGTTGAACCTGGCAGGAAAAAGACTGTAAATTGAAGTAAAAAGAAGCGTCTTCTTGTAAAAACGCACGCTTACAGCTCGTCTTCTTTGACTTGAAAGCGCCCGCGTGGAAACAGACAATTTTCACACCTTTTCATTGGTTGAAAAGGCCCACGTGACGATAAAACGCAAAATACGCATGTGTTGAACTCACGGGCTTCCCTGGGAACTAGTGGAAACAAAATGGCTGACAAACATCCACCGAGGCAGGTAGCGTTTCGCAGTTTTGACCATGCAGTTATATTCAGGAGACGTCCACAATCAAGACGAAGGATCGAACCCAATGTAAAAGAAGAAAATGATGCATGGAAGTATCATTTCAAGTGAAGAACTCTAGGGAAAAGCTAGAAAGGAAAGTTAAGACAGGGATGATGGATGTAGCGATTCAATGCTTAACAAAAGTCTTCTCACTAAGAAACTATCTTCAAGCACAAAAAAAAAATTGTAGTACATGATTTTTCAGTGTTTTAGTTTAAAACACTGCTTTTTACTTTGGAAGTATGCTTAGCCTTCTGTAAGCGCTACTATCAACATGCCTAGTCACTTAAAAGCTATGTTGGAATATCACATAGGAAACGCATAGACTACATATATTTTTCATATGAGTGACATAGGAAAAATATGTTTATGTAAAAGCTATGTAGCCTTTATCTCATGATAAAGCTAAATGAAAATGTCACATAGTGAATACATAGGCTGCAAATATGTTTCATCACATAGCATAGAATATACATAGCACTATGTAAAAGCTAAGAAACCTGTTGGAAATAAAAGTGAAGATCGAAATGCTATGTAAAAGCTATTTTACTTTTATGCATAGTGAATACATAGGATGCTAATCGGAAGGAAAAGCAGAACTTTCTATTGTAGTCCAACATAGTAAACAAATAGCATGAGCATAGGTTTTGCATATGTCTGGTTCTACAAGGGAGGGCTTTGCCATGCTTTCTTTCTCCATGAATGAAAGAATTGCATGACAAGCCAAAAGAATGCCTGCATGGGAAATCAAGAAGTATTAAACGTAACATTTGTCATTTTGATCTGTGTATATAGTTCTTGAGATATTTCAATTAACCCTTCTTCTTGTTTCAGCTGTTATAAATTACAGGAAGAAATTGAATTGCTTTCACAACAGCTCTCGGGCCTCACAAAGGTGAGAGTGGATTTAAACCCCATATGTTTTATGAGTTTCAAGTAGAGTTAAGAGTACACTCTGTTTATATAAGAATTTATTTTATAAGATTATTGAGGCTGAAATTTGCAAAATTTTAAGAATATTTAGGAATAACCCAAGGCTGAGAATTTGAAAAAGATTTGAAAATTTGTAAATACAGTACATTTTATGCTCTTACTTAACTGTAGAAAAGTATTCCTTTCACTAAACGGGAAGAACACTGGTAAATGAAATCCTGATACATTCTAAAGTGGAAAATGCTATAAGCCTAAAATCGACAAAAGAATAAGAATATTCAAGCTGGGCCAGAAAAACAACATTCTTATACAAAAAAAGAGTGTATTTCACAACCATAATTCACATTTAGCCTAAAAACCCTTGCCCATTATCCCAGATATCCAGTGACTAGATATTACATGTCTTTGAACTTTATTTTGCATCATTTGAAATCATGGTATACTGTATTTAAATTTTCTAGTTAGCTGTAATTGATTAAAATAGTAATTGATACAAAATTGATCAATAAAAACCAAAAAAATTAATTTCAGCTGTCATTTTTGGTATCCTTTTTTCCAAGGCTGACTATGATGGCTCTAAAGAAAATTTTGGTGAACAGAAAAGGAGAGGACAGCAAAAACTGGATAAATTGAAGGTACAAAATGTAATACTTAGTAGATGTCCATGAATTTCAAAAGTAATGAAAATATTAATGTATCACACAGTTTACAGCCATTTAGCAGTTTTCAGTTACAGTTAATTGCGTCGACGAAGGAGACCCTTCGTAATTGAGTTGTTGGCTGTTCTGTGTGTTTGTGGGTGTCCTGTGCATGTTTCAAGCACAAGAAATCGAGAAAAGAGGCTGTCGGTGTGTTGGTTCCAAATCTGCGCCATCTTGAAATGTCACAATAGCATCCAGCATGCTGAGCGTGCCATACGCGCGTTTCGCAACCTGTGGATCTTGACTTCCACAATCTTTTCTTTTCTAAATCTTTTGTACATCAAAGGCTGATCAGGGAAGTATTCACTATTCCTGGAGCTTTTTGAGATGCCTGATATCCAAACAGCGTATTCTATCATATTACTCAGTGCACAAAGAAAGTAGTGTCTGATAGCCCGGTGCTAGTGAATTTTGCCATCAGTCTAGTGAATTCTGTTTTTCACTTGCCCAACGGGCAAGTGATGTTTTTTGAGGAATTCAAATAACAGAAGAACTGTGAAATCAATTCTGCTAGTCAAAACGTTTTTGGGGCTAGTTGAAATGATGTCTGGGCTAGTAAATGCTAGCTTCAGCTTCCCCGAATGGCAAGCTGTAAAAATGATTTTCTTTGCACCCTGTTACTGCTGTCACAAATCTAGTGCCTAAGGCCCTAAGGGGACACACTATAATCTATGATTACCGTTAGTTATTGAAATCTTATTGTGTCAGCATGAAAAGCTATTCAATATAGTTTGAAGATAGCCTAGGTAAGGACACTACCTAACTGGAGTAACATACTCAGAATTGGCCTTACAAGAGAGTATGAGTATGAGTAACTTAATTTACCCACAAACTGCATTTGAATGAAAGCATGTTTAAATGCAAATACGCCAAAAACATACTTCTAATAAAATACCGTAATTCCTCTATTAAGCGCCCCCCTCCTCTCAAATATGCCCCCTCTTTCTAATAAGCCCTCTCTTTTGAGGGGAAGAAAGTTAATTACTCCCCCACCCCCTCTATTAACCCTACCTCTCCCGTCCCCCAATTATTCTTCACTCATAAGTGATAGACTTTAATCAATCACGACTGTAAAACTTCGTGTGGACTGATCCGGGATGGTTTATGTACCAACTGGAAGTTCGGATTTGATTGATCGTTGGCTGCATGACCTCTATTAACCCCCCCTGCCCCCCCACCCCCTCAAATGAGCTTGAAGTAGATCAATAAGCCCCTGGGGGGCTTAATAGAGGATTAAATAAAATGGGTGAAAAATTTATTTACAGAAAATGCTAAAAATATAATAAGTAAAGGAAAAATGAAAAACTAAATGTACGGAGAATACAACTGCTGCAGTCAAATGTGGTTGATATAGAGAGCCACTCTTCAGCTTTTATCTTATCAGGCGAATTATTCCACTGTTTAACAGCTGGAAGGAATGTAACATGTAGGATGCTCTTGGCCTAGGAAGTAAAAGCCCAAGGTTCCCCTAAGGTTGCAATCAGTGCTTCTTTGCAAAATAAACATTTTCCAAATATAATTCGGCGCTTGATCGTAAAAACTGCCCTTTCAATGCGTCGATGTTCCAAGTCAGACCTTCTTTGCTTGCACAAGCATGCACGTAATCATGCCAAATACCCTGTTAGCTTCTAGGGACAACCTCTTGGATACATATGGTGATGCCAAGGTCTTTGATATTTTCATGCTATTAAGAATTTCACCGTTTGGATTAACTGTATCCCTTTTCCGACTTATTTTGTTTGTGATTTGTTCTCTGAATATTATTGTTTTGTTTGTTGTTGTTTTTTTTGCTTTGTTTTTTGTTTTCATATTTATTGGGGTTAAACTTAAACTGCCAGATTTTAGACCATCTTGTACAAATGAGATTTTAGTGCTCTTGTATCGTCAGGAATACCGGCTATCTCTCTGCAGAGTTTAGAGTAGTGACTCAGCATCTGATTTTAAAGTTGAAGAAACTCATATATCTTTAAAAGGATTATAAATAAAATGGGTCCAAAGGTTGTACCCTGGTGTATGCCTATTCATCGCGTCCATGACGAATAACTGTGGCGCAAAACGACACCATGGTTGCGACCGACCAATTAAAACGCTCTGAAACATTTAAGAAGAGAAAAGGTTTGGTTTTATCAACCGAGTTGCTAAGTTGGATTGGCCGCCATAGGGAGATAGAAGATGCTAACGTTCATTCGTCAGAGCGAATTAGGGGATTGTGGGTTGCCTGTGGTTTATATATAGAATGTTGGAGCCATGTTATTGGTTGAAACATGGCAAGGTGAAAAACAAGAATGCTGTATGATGTGGTTTTTGTTGTAAATACACTGTATCTTAGAGATATTCAACAGATTCTTTTGAAATGTACTGGTTGTTTATTTACTTGAATACGGATACAGCTATACCCGCCCTAGGGCTCTATATCTACTTGGCCCTGTCCGCCGTTATTATGGACTAGACATATTATGGACTAGACATAGCCCAAGGCAACTTTCAATTTCATACTCGATTAGCATACACAGGGCAAACCTCTTCTGCTATGATTAATAACCCTTCTTCTCGATATTAGCCAGAAATTTGCATAGCCTTTTTCCTTCTGGATTCTTCTACGTTGCTAAAATCAGGAGTAAACATCACCCATCTTCCGTTTTTAAACTCGTGTAATGCCATGTTGGTCTTCCACTGAAAGTACAGCACGTTGCTCAAACCTGTAGAGACTGTTCACTTGGCCATGATTCTATATTTCTGAAATGAAGTAAGATGCAGAAGTCTTTATTTCATACGCACGAGGTTTGGAAATTTGTTTTTCACCCAGTGTTTTCCATATAACAGTGGTTCTAGTACTACACATTTGCTGTAACTACACTACAACAGGTGCTTCTGAGGAGTTAGAATTGTTGATGTATACTTTTCTCGGGGCCACGGGAGGGGGGGATGAAGGGGGGTTAAAAAAGTATTAATCCCGTGTTACAACAAACAAAAAATTACGCTTCTCATTTCGTCTTTTTTTTTTAATGATTTGATCAATATCTTACCTTGTATGTGGCAGATCATAGCATGTTATTGGTTGACACCGACTACAATTTTGAACGTGAACGGATCGCCTCAACTTAAAAGTTTCATTCCTGAATCGACAGGTGAACGGTTGCCTTTAGTTTCAGTTTCAGATGACGTATGTCTGTGTTTCAAATGTAAATTCCTCAGTCATAAGGTAAAAACAAATTTGTTTTTCTTAGCTTAATTTTGCTTTTCTTCGCTAAATTAAGCTGACCTTGCCAAGAAAGATTATATGTCTACACGAGGCCGTTTAAGTTTGTGAAAGAATACAAAGTTAAGCGGTTACAGTTTTTGTCCAATCGAAAGTGCTCGTTACGGTTATCTTCGTAAACAGTCTCCTAAAGAGGTAAATTTGTAAATGGCTAAATATCGTCCTTGCGTTGCGGCAGCCCGTTAGTAGCCTTAATTCTTATCTTGACACTCGCATTAACAACAAAAAGCTCCTTTGTCAACGTATTGAATATTGTTAAGATTTGTTAAAATCTTATGTTAATTTTAATGGTTGTTGGTTTGGTCAGTTTAAGTAATTAGCTTATAAATGTGCTACCTCACACTAACTCGCGCGGATATTCAAGATTTTTATTTGAGAAAAGACAACATAACGACCAAAATCTATGCAAAATTGTATTCAGTATGCCTTATGCAGATTTTTGTCAGTTAAATAAAAAACGATTTTGCAGCCTTGAAATAATGACGTTTTTAATTGAAACTTTTGACAAAAGGCAAACAGGCATTGACGTCAAACTCAGTTGACCTTTATAATAGAAATGAAAAAAATATATTCAAATTAGTGTTGAAGCAAATCGTTGCAATTTCTAGACGATTGATCAACCTTGTCACTAACTGTCTTGTTAATTAACAGGCTAGTCGTGGTAATACTGAGGCCCGCCGACGATGTACCATAATGGTATAACATACTTTGAAATATATAAATGTATGCGTTGTATTACTTCTCTTGATCGATATTTCTGTCAAATTGCCAGAGTAAACTGGACAGAATTTCTGAGCAGTTGGAGCCAGATGAAGTTGAAGATGATTATTTCAGGTACCGAATTTGTTGAGCGCGATTTGCTGGTAATTTTTTTTACAAAGGTGACTATGAGCTTGAGGGAGCATTTGCTTTGGCAAACGTTTATGTCTTGGAAGTGCTAGGACCAGACGCCAGTGTTTAAACGACTCTACATTTGGGATTTATTAATTTCAGACGTTTCTTGTTTCGTGTTTACTGCCTTTAACATATTCAATGAAGTTTTGTTTTACCCAATCTGATATACCCAGCGTTGAAAACAGTACACAAATGATATAAATGACCCGAACCAAAGTCGATACAGGCGGTCGTTGAGTCTTTCCCGCGGTTTTATGTCTCGGGCTAACACTTGTTTATTAATGAAATAAATTTTCTATGGTTCTTAAGTTTGGTTTTTTACCTCCCATCGAAAAACGAGCTGGAAATGAAGTCTCGACGTACAATTTAGACTATTTTTTACTTTGTACAATTGTGTAATTTTGGTTTCAAGTGTATCGACCATTTGTTCCCGACTGTAGCAGGTATATGCACTTGCTTCAGTCGTTTTTGTCGTTTTGAATAATGTTGATGAGGTAGATACTTTCTTTGCATCCCGTATTGCCCGTTCCAGTCGTTCAAATTGTAGAGAAGGCGTTAAGAGATGTGACAACTACTTGCCGTGCTCCACTAGTTGTGCCTTCTTGCAACTTTGTACTGACTTGCCGGGATTGGAATTTGAGTTTAGTCTGTTGCTTAATTTTTTTTTCTCTGCAAAATTTTTGAAAATATAACGAGAGATTATTTTGGTTCTCTTGATTTAAGAATTAAAAAATAAATGAAAGAACAAGATGCAAGACCAGCTGTAGTCAAGTAGGCGGGTTAAACAGCATTTTAAGGCCTAGGGAAATGTACGTTTTAAAAACTAATACAGAAATCGAAGATGCATTGGCAGAAGGCTGTGAAAAATGTTCATGACACTCTGAACTTAATCTTCTGTCCGTTTTTCGTGCGCCCAGGCAGATGCAGGCAGGAGACGTCGGAGCTTCCAACAGTGATATAGTAACGGACAAAGCTGAGGATGGCGATACACACGTACAAGACAGGTTTGTTTGACTATGAAGTCTACAAGTAGCCTGGAGTAAGTAGCGTAGCAGACGCTTGGAACGAGAACGGGGCGCGCGAGGTAGACACGCGGTGGGAGAGGTAGTGCCTGCCCGAGAGGCCCACGAAAATCGTTTCCCGCCCCCTATCCAATTACTTGGCAGCGCTGCGTTCTCTCTTACGCCCATTATTTCCAGGCGCATGCTACGCAGGCTAGTCTAAAAGAGAAAAATTGATTTTTATTCAAGCAAATAGAAGCCTTCTACGCTAGCGTCGTTTTGGCTTGTCCGCCACGCACTAGCCTGCGTGACAGGCCGGGCGATCGAAAGCCGGAGAAAGCGAAAGGGGAAAACCGGGACGTTGGCGGCGTCTTTAGGAATAGCTGCCTGAGAAAACAGTCGACATTTCCCCTTCGCCACCTCTAGTTTCCCCGCGAAATGACGGACAAAGCTGGGGATGCCGATACACGCCAGGAAGACAGGCTTTTTTGACTATGAAGTCTGCAGGAGAAAAATTCAGTTAATGAGGAGCCTCCTTCTGCCTGACTTTATTTTGGCGCGCCACGCACCTGCCTGCGTGACAAGCCAGGCGTTCGAAAGCCGGGGAAAGGAAAGGGGAAATCGGGACTCTTGAGAAAACAGCAGACATTTCGCGACGCCTCTGCTGGTTTCCGTCGCGAAATGACGCCTGAGGAACGAGCGCAGCAATTCCATACTCAGTTCGATAATCCTTCAGTAGCCAGACCTGGGTAGTGCTTCTGATCGGTGGATGGATCAAATTTTCAACCTATCAGAAGCACTACCCAGATATGAGTAGTGACACATCATCAGTATGGAATTTCTGCGCGCTTTCCTCAGGCGTCAGTTCTTAAGGAAACCAGTGATGCCATCGCAAAATGTCGGCTGTTTTCTCAGTCTACTTCAAGAAATAACATTGATTTATTTACCTCTAAGTAGTAGCATTTTTCCCTAAACCGTATTGTGCTGTTTCATTTGTACAAACAGCGTTGAAGGTGATGACGATGATGATGAAGAGGAAGATGAAGAAGATGATGATGATGAAAGTGAAGATGAAACTGGGACAAACATTATCATGGTGAGATATTGAGTAATATAATTTCTTTTCCAAAGTAGTCTCTTCTTTCTTTTCTATTTGTCCTCCGTTGGTCATTAAAGTCATGATGCTATTGACCGGTAAATTCTAACTCGATGCGTAACTGGTCCGTGTTGTTCTAATGTTATTAAAGAGATAACCTCGTGACCATATTTTTTCCTTGAGATTCTTTACGTTTATGATTTCTGTTTGCCCTTGTTAACGTGAGGAGAGGTATTTCACTGAAGAATAAGAGACTTCTTGTTCATGATTTAGCGGCAACAAATCTAACAAGTTGCTGAAGGGCGAACAAATTCAAATACTGCACTCCACTACGCCTCGTAGCTAAGGGGGTTGGGGAGGGGAGCAATAACTTTCTTCCTCAAAAAACGGGAGGGCGTATCAGAGAAGGGGGGTTAATAGGTGATTTACAGTATTTTTATCGTTTTCGGATACACCAGCAATCGTGTGCATGTGATTATTGCTACTGTTTGCTGTATATACACCATAATGGACATCAGTTCAAATGGAGTACCTGTAAAGTTTGCTTGCAGCTTGTGTTGATACTTTTTCCTTTTCTTTTTGTTAAAAAATCCTTAGGTTCGTAAAGTCGAAGCTCTGAGTGATTTTAAAGGCGAGCAAGATGGTGATTTAAGCTTTAAGACGGGCGAGATTTTAACAGTCATCAAAACGAGGTATATATAAAGTAACCAAAAGGAAAGAAACAAAACAAAGCAAAACAAAAATAACAGCCTTGGCAAGCCCGGTTTCCATATAATGGTCCGGATCGTTTTGATCACTCCAGTCGTCCCAAAAAACGTTTTACACAATTGCGAATTCACTGACCTTCACATAATGGCCTCGGTATGCGTCTGTGTGTCTGCTGTCTGCAGGAAGATATCATTGCTTCAATTGGGTGCGCTGAATTCTGGGAAAAATGATGAATGATGGAATAGATTTCCTTTAGAGTGGTCTCTATATGATCGCTGGCAATTTTTTTACAATCTCCGCTATCGTCCGAATAGACCTCAGTTCTTCTATCCAGACGATTACTAGCGCCCCGATCTACCAGATCGTCCCGCCTCGCGCCAGAGACGTTTTCATATGATCGCCTGCAATTATCCAGTAGATAGCCCTATCCAACAACATATATTGTCGATAGATGTAGAATCCATGACCTTCGGTTCAAAGAGGTCTTGGCCATTTTTTAAACTGCCACTTCAAGATGGCGGATCCTGTTCTGAGGGACTGGTAACCTTTGTGGTAACCAGGATACTCTTGGCGGATAAGCTACTACATTAAGGTTTTCGGATTCGACCAGGGGTCAATGAATAAGGGCGTTTTTTGTTAAAATAGGAAATATATAAAATATAAGCACGACAAATAATTAACATTTTGTGAGAATAACGTAAGAACAGCTTCGCTCGCGCGGTTTGTATTTGTGTCTGTTTCGAAAGTTGAATAACAGTCTCATAGTTGTTAACGCGCTTAATGCGCATCGCTGAATTGATGGGGGTGATAATTTAAAGAAGGCCTTCACAAGACAAGGCTCTTTAGGCTAGGAAATAACTTTTGTATGGCAACTTTTGCGCAGTAATGAATTTTTGATTTTATACTTAAATTTTTTATTTCGTGTGCATTTCAGCGAGGATGGCTGGTGGGAAGCCGAAAACGCTGCAGGAAAGAAAGGAGTTGTGCCGGAAACGTATCTTAAGGTAAAACTATTCAATTCATTATTAAGTAACGTTAATGTCTCTGGTCCATCGTCCCTGGTCCTTGTTACTTGGAGAGATTTCTCTTTTGATCTCCACATGAAAACGTAAATGAGAAAATTTGAACAAAAAAATGAATGCATTTCTCAAAACACCCTAAAACACTGTAAGAGCTTTCAAGCCCGGAAAATGTTTTTTCCCATCCATTTCTTGGCCTCAAGTTATTTCGCAAAGTAGGCTAACGTCAGTAATTCGTTACACTGCAAAACAGTCGGTTTTTTAATCTCAAAATCGGTTTTGTAAGGCCCGAAGCACCGGCGAGATACTATCGCGCGAAGCGCGTAGGTCAGAGAGTGTGTGGCGTCTTTTTCGCGTCTCTCCTCAGTCTCACTCTCCGTTTTCACCCTCACACTCCAGACCTTTCCTTTAAACACTTGCTCGCGCGTTCTCACCCTAGGCAGAAATGCGGACTGGTTTGCAGTCTAAATATTCCGCTGTGATTCTGTAAACGATTTTTGCGCACTTTAAATATTTCTCGGGACCGAAATGTCGAGAAATGCACCCCAGTGCCAAGTGTTTCCCTCTCCCCCGGTTGACCTGGACCGTTCCAAACCTCTTATTTCATTGGTTTTCCTTCCTTTGATCTGCACTTCCATTGTTTCAAAGACAATTTGCTAGTCAGCTTGGTTGTTAGTGCCATAGACTATCGTGTGGGATGCTGTATATCCCCAATGGGACCATTATTAGGGGGTTTAAAAATGAGAAATCAATGCCTTCATTTTTAAACGACTAGACATTCAATACTGAGTACATCATGCTAAATGCATTAACACCTAAACAACGACGTTTGTTATCAAATGTTGCTCCACTGAAGTGATGTTCAACTTGGTTAAGTTTTCCTTTTTTGTAGCCCACCCTAGCTCTTCATTTTGTTCTCTAAATCTTGCAATTTCATTTAGATTCTCGAAGAAGGCGAAGAATCCTCTCCAGGGAAAACACAACAAGAGGAGGCCTCTGTTGACAAGAAAGGTTTGTTCTTAAATTAAACATGTCTTTCCGGTGTACCAAGATTATAGGGAGCTCAAGCAACCTCTACAAGGACAGCAACGAGTTTTGTAACTGAGCAAAACAACAGCTCTGCACGTGCATCATGCTTTTTGGTACATTTCTTTTACGTCGTTGCCCTTTTATGTCTCAAGTTTAATAAGCTTTGTTTAAGCCAAACTATTTTCATTTTTTTTTTTATTTAGAAACAGCAGATAAGCCTCCAGACCTTACAAGAAAGAGAAGGTAAAGAGAGCCTTAAAACAGCTCGCCGTCAGCCTTTCTAGTATAGTAAATATGGTAACGGCAACAACCAGTATAATACAGGTCATGTATATAACTTCCACCAGGATTTAGACCAAGTCCGCACTGATCCGGATATTTTTTAAACCGCATTACCATATCTTTTTACAAAAATCAGTCTTCCGTCCACATGAAATCAGTGAATCCGCTCACCGTTGCTCACCGTAGCTTTCGCCTATGTTCACGGGAACCGGTTTTGTGTCGGTGCGCTATAATAGGTCTGTTTTGATTGTCATAAACTAAGTTTCCGATAAAGAAGTGAAACCGATTGAAAAGTGCGTAGAATCCTGCTTATATTTTATTTCAGTCTTCAGTTTTAGCTAAAATTTCGTATGGTTTACCGGTGTATGCAGCCCCCGTGCCTGAACCGTACTGTGCAGCAGTTCCTTCGCAGATGTCATAAACGCCGCTATATATCCTATTCTATAGATATACTGTATACGATTTGCTTGAAAAAACAGACAGTTCAATCTCCAAGAAGATTAGTTGCCTACCTACTCATCCGCTGTATAATTTGTTGCCCAGAGTTAAAGAATCTTCAAAACGTCTGAGAACTCAAACAAGCCTACTACCCTGTGTTAACAAGGAACGCTTTGAGGCTAGTTTTATTAGTAGACTGTATTTTAGATATACTTTTACTTTTTAACTAATGATATTATTAAAACATGCAAATATAGGTATGTATTTTTACTTTTATATTCAATAAAGACATTTATTATTATTATTATTATTATTATTATTATTATTATTATTATTTAAATTTAACCAATTTATTTTCCTTTTTTTACGTCGTGTTGTGAACTGATATCATGATCAGTGGAAAGGAACTCTGGCGAAAAATATCAAAAGGTACAGCGCAGGAGGTGGGTCTATAATTGTTATTCTCATTTTATGTATCTTAGTCTTCCGTGGACCATTTACTCATTTTGTGACATGAGTTCTGTCCTAGGAGTTTCCCTTGCTCTTTAACGGTGATCGCGCGCTGTATTTTTGGCCGGGCGAGCGATGAAGAATACTTCTATTGCTCTGTCGCTATTATCTCGGATGCCGCAACGGAAGTAGAGTTACGGCGAGCCATCTTTTACTTGCTTCAAAAATGACGGCATAACGCGATCGAATTTTTAATGAGCGTTCATAACAAACGCACGTTTGTCATACTCGCTCGCATGCCGCCGAAGACGTCTTGTGGAAACGTGAGTGATTGTAACCACCACCTTCAGGAAACCATAAGAAGGAATCAAACATTTCGCCATTCTTTGGACTCTCATTAATATTATGAGCCTGGGTACAAGCAGCTATTTTCTTGAGCTGCCTTATTTTTGTTTGGTTTGTTCATAGTTATTAGAGGAGACTGGTTATGAAAAGCTGCAAACATCAATGATAAAAACAACAGTGCTGCACTTATGTTGGAAGTACCGTGAAAGTGCACAATCCTTTGTTTTCTGTTGGCAAATTGTTACGGAATAAATTAATGCAACGTTTTTATTGGTCAATACGATCAAAATGATAGGAATTCTTTTGAACGTTCTGCACTTTCAGGTCCACAAAAACATATAACAAAGGAGTCTGACGGGTTTCATAACCATTCCACTCAATTAACTATGGTTTGTTTATGTGATCAAAAAATCGGATTTCTTAAACAAACGCTGAAAAGCGAAAAAAGTGAGCTGCCAGTTGAAATCCTGATCTTCCGTGGATGTGAAAATTTGAAAGTTATAAACCTCGTGTGAAAAGATTGAGAACTCGTTACACTCGCATAAGTAAACGCGAACTTGAAATTTGTCATTTTCGAACGTGGAGCGCGCGCGCGTTATGCGCAGGCCCTTCAATTGTGACGTGTAATTTTTGGTTCGATTCTCTACTGCAAAGATACCGTTTCTACCTGTGCTTAATATCGCTGGTTCCCGCTCTACACTTCTGGGATTTACCTTCGTGAAAAATGGCATACTGCGCTTCACTTGGCATTTCCACAAAGGTACTTCTTTTCTGATCATTGTTATTTATATTTTTCTGAAAAGGAAGCATTTAATTTTAGTTTTGCCACTTCTTGTCGGAGACCTTTTTAATCCTACTGAGCGCTTCCCCTTGAAAACAGTTGAAAAATGATTCACGCTTTTCGTACGCTTTGTTTTAGACGGAAGCGAGTCTACTGGATCGGTAAAAAATTCTTCGTCTATTATTGTCCATATATCTTGCTTTCGGATATTATAAGGTTTCCTATGTTTTTATTTGCTTATGTAAATCCAAATTGTCTATTTCCCACGCATCGATTTCGTTGATTAAAACGGTCTTCCACTTCTTCTGCAAATGTACTATTAACTCAACTTTGAGCCACAAAACATAATACCAGATGATATGAGTCGTGGTTTATGACGGAAGTGATATAAACTTTGAAGGTTTCAGTGAATCAGAAAAGATGTTATGGTCAATTCGGCGTTGATATTATATTTTAATCTGTTACAAAGTTTTTATTATGTTTCTGAATCAATATTGTACAACATCAGTATATAGCATGATGTATATTTTTTCATTATTAAGCGATGCTGTATTTTTTCAATGCAAATTGCTGTCTTTCATTTTTATAACAGGAAATTATTATTGCACAGTATTTTAGGCCGCAAAAGCCTCACTTAAAGAGCTTAAAAACCTTTAAAAGTCATCTTTTGTTACTGTCATTGTGCGCGGTGAAAAGCGTCAAAATTAATAGTTTTTTTAATCGCTATAACGTAAATAACTTTTTAGTTTAGGCGCAATAATAAAAATTGCGTAGTTCGAGCCACAATTGCAAACTTTGAAGGATTCGATATTTGCGTTGTTGCCAGCTGAAAATGCAAACACTTTAAGATAATTTTGTGTCGCCTTTTCGGAGTGCATGTGTTTATTGATTCTCATATAACTGATAGTTTTAACTGCCAATTAAAATTGATGATAGAAAGTATGCGAAAAACTGGGTTTTCGAAGTTGAATTCATATATTCCAAGGTTACCGGAAAGTTGCCAAATACAAATCTTAAGATCCTGGGGTTATTCACTATCGCTTGATCAAGTGTTAACGGTATAGGTGCCAAGCTTGAAACTTCGATTGAAAAGGTGTTCTCAAGATAATGTGTGTGTGGAGTGTGGAGGGGGAAACGGTGGGGGGCGCTCCTCACACTCCCCCCCTTCTAATCTTTTGGCCACAGAAACGAGCGCAATGCGCACCGACCCAATTTAACCGATACTGAGAGCAACTCACGATATCTCTTACATCGGGTGGTCATATGGCGAAAGGAGGGAAAATCTTGATTTCAATTTGTGAAAAACTTCTCACCAGAAACAGGCTGCAGTCGTGTTGGGGTCATAGCCGGGTTTTGTGTTGCCTTGCGCTGTCTCCACTTGCTCCTCAACAAGAGAGATTGCGATATACACGCCAGCTGACACGAAATGCGTGGCAAGTGAATGGAAGTATTTCTCTTACTGGGGCAGGATTAGCGCAGTTGTTAGAGCGCTGACCTGCGGAACTGGTTCGATTTCCGGGACCGGACCAATATTCAAGGTCTTAAAATAACTAAGGATAAAGATACTTCCTTTGTCCATCCGATTGCTAGACCTTCGCTTGGCTCCTTTATTTGATTACCCTCCCGGAATACTCAACCAAGATTTATCCGGCGGGCTCCGCCCCAAAGTACTATCCCTTACCCTCTTACATACTATTATTGACACAAAAGGTCCTCCTTTCGTTTACCTTCTGTTGACTAATGGTAACCCCTTTCACATACCTAGTGTGGAACTTTCCATCCCTTTTAAATGCTGTAAATACACTGTCTTTTAAGTATGAATAAATCACAAAACCGGAACGATTTCTCAACTTTCTCACAGCCATAAAATGCATCTGTTAGCTCTTTGGGCCTTTTAACAGACCGAAATGAAATATTTCCCCACCTTTTTTATATACTTCAACCAGTAAATTCCGTAGCTTTTCATATACCGTCAATGACCAAATAAACGCCCACTTCCAAATAAACACCTCTTATCTAGTAAACGCCCCCTCTACGCTCTACGCCCCACTCTAATAAACGCCCCCTGTCTAATAGACGCTCCCTATGAGAACTACTCCAAAATACTAGGATTTAGCCAAAAGGAGCAAAATCATTCAATGCGTTCAGTTTCGTGCTTAATTAACGAGGCTTTGCATGTTTCATCTTGTTCTATGTCAAGTTCAGAGTAAGGATAGACTAATGATGGCAACACAATAACCCTGAGCGAAGAAACAAATGCTGTAAAGCGTTAATTTACATACTACATAAGTGAGCTGCCAGTTGAAATCCTGATGTTCCGTGGGTGGGAAACTTTGAGAGTTCTAAACCTCGAGTGAAAAGATTGAGAACTCGTTACACTCGCATAAGTAAGGACAAACTTAAAATTTGTCATTTTCGAACGTGGAGCGCGTGCGCGTTATCCACAAGCTCCTCAATTGTGACGTGTAGTTTTTGGTTGGATTCTCTACTGCAATGATACCGTTTCTACCTGTGTTTAATATCGTTGGTTTCTGCTCTACACTGCTGGGATTTACCGTCGTGAAAAATGGCATACTGCGCTTCATTTGGCATTTCCACAAACGTACTTCTTTTCTGATCATTGTTGTTTTTATATTTCTGAAAAGGAAGCATTTAATTATAGTTTTGCCACTTCTTGTCGGAGACCTTTTTAATCCTACTAGGCGCTTCCCCTTGAAAACAGTTGAAGAATGATTTACGCTTTTCGTACGCTTTGTTTTCGACGGAAGCGAGTCTACTGGATCGGTAAAAAATTCTTCGTCTATTAGTATTGTCCATATATCTTGCTTTCGGATATTATAAGGTTTCCTATGTTTTTATTTGCTTATGTAAATCTAAATTGTCTATTTCCCACGCATCAATTTCATTGATTAAAAGGGTCTTCCATTTCTTCTGCAAATGTACTATTAACTCAACTCTGAGCAACAAAACAAAATACCAGATGGTTCGATATGAGTCGTGTTTTTATGACGGAAGTGGTATAAACTTTGTAAGGTTTCAGGGAATCAGAAAAAATGTTGTGGTGAATTCGGCGTTGATATTATATTTAAATCTGTTATAAAGTTTTTATTATGTTTCTGAATCAATATTGTACAACATCAGTATATAGCATAATGTATATGCTTTCATTATTAAGCGACGCTGTATTTTTTCAATTCAAAGTGCTGTCTTTCATTTTTTTATCAGGAAATTATTATTGCACAGTATTTTAGGCCGCAAAAGCCTCACTTAAAGAGCTTAAAACCGTTAAGAGTCATCTTTTGTTACTTTCATTGTGCGCGGTGAAAGGCCTCAAAATTAATAGCCTTTTTAATCGCTAAAACGTAAATGACTTTTTAGTTTAGGCCCAATAATTAAAATTGCGTTGTTCGGACCACAATTGCAAACGTTGAAGGATTTGATATTTGCGTTGTTGCCAGCTGAAAATGCAAACACTTTAAGATAATTTCGCGTCGGCTTTTCTGAGTGCATGTGTTCACTGTTTCGCATATAACTGATAGTTTTAACTATCAATTAAAATTGATGATAGAAATTATGCGAAAAAGTGGGTTTTCAAAGTTGAATTCATATATTCCAAGGTTACCGAAAAGTTGCCAAATACAAATGCTAAGATCCTGGGGTTATTCACTATCGCTTGATCAAGTGTTAACGGTATAGGTTCCAAGCTTGAAACCTTGATTGAAACGGTGTTCTCAAGATAATGTGTGTGTGGAGTGTGGAGGGGAAAAGGGTTGGGGGGGGGAGCGCTCCTCACACTCCCCCCTTCTAATCTTATGGCCACGGAGACGAGCGCAATGCGCACCGACAAAAGTTAGCCGATACTGAGAGCAACTCACGATATCTCTTACATCAGGCGGTCATATGGCGAAAAGAGGGAAAATCTTGATTTCAATTTGTGAAAAACTTATCACCAGAAACAGGCTGCAGTCGTGTTGGGGTTATAGCTGGGTTTTGTGTTGCCTTGCGCTGTCTCCACTTGCTCCTCAACAAGAGAGACTGCGATATACACGCCACCTGACGCGAAATGCGTGGCAAGTGAATGGAAGTATTTCTCTTACTGCGGCAGGATTAACTCAGTTGTTAGAGCGCTGGCCTTCAGAACTGGTTCGTTTTACGGGACCGGACCAATATTCATGGTCTTAAAATAACTAAGGATAAAGATACTTCCTTTGTTCATCCGATTGCTAGACCTTCGCTTGGCTCCTTTATTTGATGAGCCCCCGGGGGGTACTCAACCAAGTTTTATCTGGCGGGCTCCGCCCCAAGGTACAACCCCTCAGCCTTTTATATACCATTTTTGACTGAAAAGGTCCTCCTTTCGTATACCTTCTGTTGACAAATGGTGCCCCTTTCACATGCCTAGTTTAGAAGTTACCGGAACGATTTCTCAACTTTTTCACAGCCATAAAATGCAACTGTTAGCTCTTTGCGCCTTTTGACTGACCGAAATGAAATATTTCTCCACCTTTTTTATATACTTCAACCAGTAAATTCCGTAGCTTTTCATATACCGTCAATGACCAAATAAACGCCCACTTCCAAATAAACACCTCTTATCTAGTAAACGCCCCCTGTCTAATAGACGCCCCCTATGAGAATTACTCCAAAATACTAGGATTTAGCAAAAAGGAGCAAAATCATTCAATGCGTTCAGTTTCGTGCTTGATTAACGAGGCTTTGCATTTTTCATCTTGTTCTATGTCAAGTTTAAAGTAAGGATAGACTAATGATTGCAACACAATAACCCTGAGCGAAGATACAAACGCTGTAAAGCCTTAATTTAGATGCTACATAAGTGAGCTGCCAGTTGAAATCCTGATGTTCCGTGGATGGGAAAATTTGAAAGATATAAACCTCGTGTGAACAGATTGAGAACTCGTTACACTCGCAGAAGTAAAAGGCGAACTTGAAATTTGTGATTTTCGAACGTGTACCGCGCGCGCGCGCGCGCGTTATCCACAAGCTCTTCAGTTGTGACGTGTAGTTTTTGGTTCGATTCTCTGCTGCAAAGATACCGTTTCTACCTGTGCTTAATATCGCTGGTTTCCGCTCTACACTGCTGGGATTTACCTTTCGTGAAACATGGCATACTGCGCTTCACTTGGCATTTCCACAAAGGTACTTCTTTTCTGATCATTGTTATTTTTATTTTTCTGAAAAGGAAGCATTTAATTATAGTTTTGCCACTTTTTGTCGGAGACCTTTTTAATCCTACTAAGCGCTTCCCCTTGAAAACAGTTGAAAAATGATTCACGCTTTTCGCACGCTTTGTTTTAGATGGAAGCGAGTCTACTGGATCGGTAAAAAAATCTTCGTCTATCAGTATTGTCCATATATCTTGCTTTCGGATATTATAAGGTTTCCTATGCTTTTATTTGCTTATGTAAATCTAAATTGTCTTTTCCCCACGCATCAATTTCGTTGATTAAAACGGTCTTCCATTTCTTCTGCAAATGTACTATTAACTCAACTTTTAGCAACAAAATAAAATACCAGATGGCTCGATATGAGTCGTGTTTTTATGACGGAAGTGATATAAACTTTGCAAGCTTTCAGTGAATCAGAAAAGATGTTGTGGTCAATTCGGCGTTAATATTATATTTAAATCTGTTACAAAGTTTTTATTATGTTTCTGAATCAATATTGTACAACATCAGTATATAGCGTAATGTATATGTTTTCATTATTAAGCGATAGTGTATTTTTTCATTTCAAATTGCTGTCTTTCATTTTTATATCAGGAAATTATTATTGCACAGTATTTTAGGGCGCAAAAGCCTCACTTGAAGAGCTTAAAACCGTTAAGAGTCATCTTTTGTTACTGTCTTTGTGCGCGTTGAAAGGGGTCAAAATTAATAGCCTTTTAAATCGCTAAAACGTGAATGACTTTTTAGTTTAGGCGCAGTAATTGAAATTGCGTAGTTCGGACAACAATTGCAAACGTTGAAGGATTTGATATTTGCGTTGTTGCCAGCTGAAAATCCAAACACTTTAGGTTATTTTCTTGTCGGCTTTTCTGAGTGGATGTGTTCACTGTTTCACTTATAACTGATAGCTTTAACTATCAATTAAAATTGATGATACGAAGTATCCGAAAAACTGGGTTTTCAAAGTTGAATTCATGTATTCCAAGATTACCTGAAAGTTGCCAAATACAAATCTTAAGATCCTGGATGTTATTCACTATCGCTTGATCAAGTGTTAACGATATAGGTGCCAAGCTTGAAACCTCGATTGAAAAGGTGTTCTCAAGATAATGTGTGTGTGGATCGAGTGTGGAGGGGGAAACGGTGGGGGGCGCTCCTCATATCCCCCGCCCCCCTCCCTCTAATGTTATGGCCACGGAGACGAGCGCAATGCGCACCGACCGAAGTTAACCGATACTGAGAGCAACTCACGATATCTCTTACATCGGGTGGCCATATGGCGAAAAGAGGGAAAATCTTGATTTCAGTTTATGAAAAACTTCTCACCAGAAACAGGCTGCAGTCGTGTTGGGGTCATAGCCGGGTTTTGTGTTGTCTTTCGCTGTCTCCACTCGCTCCTCAACAACAGAGACTGTGATAAACTCGCCAGCTGACACGAAATGCGTGGCAAGTGAATGGAAGTATTTCTCTTACTGCGGCAGGATTAACTCAGTTGTTAGAGCGCTGGCCTGCAGAACTGGTTCGATTTCCGGGACCGGACCAATATTCAGGGTCTTAAAATAACTAAGGATAAAGATACTTCCAAGGGGTTTGTCCATCCGATTGCTATACCTTCGCTTGGCTCCTTTATGTGATTAACCCCCCCGGAAGGGGGATACTCAACCAAGTTTTATCCGGGGGGCTCCGCCCCAAGGTACAATCCCTTACCCTTTTACATACCATTTTTGACAGAAGAGGTACTCCTTTCGTATACCTTCTGTTGACTATTGGTTCCCCTTTCACATACCTAGTGTGGAACTTTCCATCCCTTTTAAATGCTGTAAATACACTGTCTTTTAAGTATGAATAAATCACAAAACTGGAACGATTTCTCAACTTTTTCACAGCCATAAAATGCATCTATTAGCCCTTTTGGCCTTTTAACAGACCGAAATGAAATATTTCCCCACCTTTTTTATATACTTCAACCAGTAAATTCCGTAGCTTTTCATATACCGTCAATGACCAAATAAACGCCCACTTCCAAATAAACACCTCTTATCTAGTAAACGCCCCCTGTCTAATAGACGCCCCCTTATTAGAATTACTCCAAAATACTAGGATTTAGCAAAAAGGAGCAAAATCATTCAATGCGTTCAGTTTCGTGCTTGATTAACGAGGCTTTGCAAGTTTCATCTTGTTCTATGGCAAGTTTAAAGTAAGGATAGAATAATGATGGCAACACAATAACCCTGAGCGAAGATACAAACGCTGTAAAGCCTTAACTTAGATGCTACATAATTGAGCTGCCAGTTGAAATCCTGATGTTCCGTGGATGGGAAAATTTGAAAGTTATAAACCTCGTGTGAACAGATTGAGAACTCGTTACACTCGCAGAAGTGAAAGGCGAACTTGAAATTTGTGATTTTCGAACGTGGAGCGCGCGCGCGTGCGTTATCCACAAGCTCCTCAATTGTGACGTGTAGTTTTTGGTTCGATTCTCTACTGCAAAGATACCGTTTCTACCTGTGTTTACTATCGCTGGTTTCCGCTCTATACACTGCTGGGATTTACCTTCGTGAAAAATGGCCTACTGCGCTTCACTTGGCATTTCCACAAAGGTACTTCTTTTCTGATCATTGTTATTTTTATATTTCTGAAAAGGAAGCATTTAATTATAGTTTTGCCACTTCTTGTCGGAGACCTTTTTAATCCTTCTAGGCGCTTCCCCATGAAAACAGTTGAAGAATGATTCACGCTTTTCGTACGCTTTTTTTTAGATGGAAGCGAGTCTAGTGGATCGGTAAAAAATTCTTCGTCTACCAGTATTGTCCATATATCTTGCTTTCGGATATTATAAGGTTTCCTATGTTTTTATTTGCTTATGTAAATCTAAATTGTCTATTTCCCACGCATCAATTTCATTGATTAAAAGGGTCTTCCATTTCTTCTGCCAATGTACTATTAACTCAACTTTGAGCCACAAAACAAAATACCAGATGGTTCGATATGAGTCGTGTTTTTTTGACGGAAGTGATATAAACTTTGCAAGCTTTAAGTGAATCAGAAAAGATGTTGTGGTCAATTCGGCGTTGACATTATATTGAAATCTGTTACAAAGTTTTTATTATGTTTCTGAATCAATATTGCACAACATCAGTATATAGCGTGATGTATATTTTTTCATTATTAAGCGATGCTGTATTTTTTCAATTCAAATTGCTGTGTTTCATTTTTGTATCAGGAAATTATTATTGTAGAGTAATTTAGGCCGCAAAAGCCTCACTTAAAGAGCTTAAAACCTTTAAGAGTCATCTTTTGTTACTGTCATTGTGCGCGGTGAAAGGCGTCAAAATTAATAGCCTTTTTAATCGCTAAAACGTAAATGACTTTTTAGTTTAGGCGCAATAATTAAAATTGCGTAGTTCGGGCAACAATTGCAAACGTTGAAGGATTTGATATTTGCGTTGTTGCCAGCTGAAAATCCCAAACACTTTAAGATAATTTCGTGTTGGCTTTTCTGAGTGCATGTGTTCACTGTTTCGCATATAACTGATAGTGTTAACTATCAAGGATTAAAATTGATGATTCTAAGTGTGCAAAAAACTGGGTTTTCAAAGTTGAATTCATGTATTCCAAGGTTACCTGAAAGTTGCCAAATACAAATCTTAAAGTCCTGGGGTTATTCACTATCACTTGATCAAGTGTTAACGGTATAAGTGTAAATGCCTAGCTTGAAACCTCGATTGAAACGGTGTTGTTAAGATGACGTGTGTGTGGAGTGTGGAGGGGGGAAGGGTGGGGGCGCTCCTCACACTCTCCCCCTTCTAATCTTATAGCCACAGAAACGAGCGCAATGCGCACCGACCAAAGTTAACCGATACTGAGAGCTACTCACGATATCTCTTACATCGGGTGGTCATATGGCGAAAAGAGGGAAAATCTTGATTTCAGTTTGTGAAAAACTTATCACCAGAAAAAGGCTGCAGTCGTGTTGGGGTCATAGCCGGGTTTTGTGTTGTCTTTCGCTGTCTCCACTCGCTCCTCAACGACGGAGACTGTGATAAACTCGCCAGCTGACACGAAATGCGTGGCAAGTGAATGGAAGTATTTCTCTTACTGCGGCAGGTTTAACTCAGTTGTTAGAGCGCTGGACTGCAGAACTGGTTCGATTTCCTGGACCGGACCAATATTTAGGGTCTTAAAATAACTAAGGATAAAGATACTTCCTAGGCCTTTGTCCATCCGACTGCTAGACCTTTGCTTGGCTCCTTTATTTGATGACCCTCCCGGGGGTACTCAACCAAGTTTTATCCGGCGGGCTTCGCCCCAAGGTACAACCCCTTACCCCTTTATATTCCATTTTTGACAGAAAAGGTCCTCCTTTCGTATACCTTCTGTTGACAAATGGTGCCCTTTCACATGCCTAGTTTAGAACTTACCGGAACGATTTCTCAACTTTTTCACAGCCATAAAATGCATCTGTTAGCTCTTTGGGCCTTTTAACAGACCGAAATGAAATATTTCTCCACCTTTTTTATATACTTCAACCAGTAAATTCCGTAGCTTTTCATATACCGTCAATGACCAAATAAACGCCCACTTCCAAATAAACACCTCTTATCAAGTAAACGCCCCCTCCACGCTCTGCGCCCCACTCTAATAAACGCCCCCTGTCTAATAGACGCCCCCTATGACAATTACTCCAAAATACTAGGATTTAGCAAAAAGGAGCAAAATCATTCAATGCGTTCAGTTTCGTGCTTGATTAACGAGGCTTTGCATTTTTCATCTTTTTCTATGTCAAGTTTAAAGTAAGGATAGACTAATGATTGCAACACAATAACCCTGAGCAAAGAAACAAACGCTGTAAACCGTTAATTTAGATATTACATAAGTGAGCTGCGAGTTGAAATCCTGATGTTCCGTGGATGGGAAAATTTGAGAGTTATAAACCTCGAGTGAATAGATTTAGAACTCGTTACACTCGCATGAGTAAAAGGCGGACTTGAAATTTGTCATTTTCGAACGTGGAGCACGCGCGCGTTATCCACAAGCTCCTCAATTGTGACGTGTAGTTTTTGGTTCGATTCTCTACTGCAAAGATACCGTTTCTACCTGTGTTTATTATGGCTGGTTTCCGCTCTATACACTGCTGGGATTTACCTTCGTGAAAAATGGCATACTGCGCTTTACTTGGCATTTCCACAAAGGTACTTCTTTTCTGATCATTGTTATTTTTATATTTCTGAAAAGGAAGCATTTAATTATAGTTTTGCCACTTCTTGTCGGAGACCTTTTTAATCCTACTAAGCGCTTCCCCTTGAAAACAGTTGAAGAATGATTCACGCTTTTCGCACGCTTTGTTTTAGACGGAAGCGAGTCTCCTGGATCGGTAAAAAATTGTTCGTCTATCAGTATTGCCCATATATCTTGCTTTCGGATATTATAAGGTTTCCTATGTTTTTATTTGCTTATGTAAATCTAAATTGTCTATTTCCCACGCATCAATTTCATTCTTCTGCAAATGTACCATTAACTCAACTTTGAGCCACAAAAGAAAATACCAGATGGTTCGATATGAGTCGTGTTTTTTTGACGGAAGTGATATAAACTTTGCAAGCTTTCAGTGAATCAGAAAAGATGTTGTGGTCAATTCGGCGTTGATATTATATTTTAATCTGTTACAAAGTTTTTATTATGTTTCTGAATCAATATTGCACAACATCAGTATATAGCGTGATGTATATTTTTGCATTGTTAAGCAATGCTATATTTTTTCAATTCAAGTTGCTGTCTTTCATTTTTATATCAGGAAATTATTATTGCACAGTATTTTAGGCCGCAAAAGACTCACTTAAAGAGCTTAAAGAGCTTAAAAACCTTTAAAAGTTATCTTTTGTTACTGTCTTTGTGCGCGGTGAAAGGCGTCAAAATTAATAGCCTTTTTAATCGCTATAACGTAAATAACTTTTTAGTTTAGGCGCAATAATAAAAATTGCGTAGTTCGAGACACAATTGCAAACTTTGAAGGATTCGATATTTGCGTTGTTGCCAGCTGAAAATCCAAACACTTTAAGATAATTTTGTGTCGGCTTTTCTGAGTGCATGTGTTTACTGATTCGCATATAACTGATATTTTTAACTACCAATTATAATTGATGATAGAAAGTATGCGAAAAACTGGGTTTTCGAAGTTGAATTCATATATTCCAAGGTTACCGGAAAGTTGCCAAATACAAATCTTAAGATCCTGGGGTTATTCACTATCGCTTGATCAAGTGTTAACGGTATAGGTGCCAAGCTTGAAACCTCGATTGAAAAGGTGTTTTCAAGATAATGTGTGTGTGAAGTGTGGATGGGGAAATGATGGGGGGCGCTCCTCACACTCCCCCTTCTAACCGACCAAAGTTAACCGATACTGAGAGCTACTCACGATATCTCTTACATGGTGTGGCCATATGGGGAAAAGAGGGAACCACCAGAAAAAGGCTGCAGTCGTGTTGGGGTCATAGTCGGGTTTTGTGTTGTCTTTCGCTGTCTCCGCTTGCTCCTCAACAAGAGAGACTGCGAGAAACACGCCAGCTGACACGAAATGCGTGGCAAGTGAATGGAAGTATTTCTCTTACTGCGGCAGGATTAACTCAGTTGTTAGAGCGCTTGCCTGCGGAACTGGTTCGATTTCCTGGACCGGACCAATATTTAGGGTCTTAAAATAACTAAGGATAAAGATGCTTCCTTTGTCGATCCGATTGCTAGACCTTCGCTTGGCTCCTTTATTTGATGACCCTCTCGGGGGTACTCAATCAAGTTTTATTCGGCGGGCTTCGCCCCAAGGTACTATCCCTTACCCTTTTATATACCATTATTGACACAAAAGGTCCTCCTTTCGTTTACCTTCTGTTGACTAATGGTAACCCCTTTCACGTGCCTAGTTTAGAACTTTGCATCCCTTTTAAATGCTGTAAATACACTGTCTTTTAAGTATGAATAAATCACAAAACCGGAACGATTTCTCAACTTTTTCACAGCCACAAAATGCACCTGTTAGCTCTTTGGGCCTTTTAACAGACCGAAATGAAATATTTCTCCACCTTTTTTATATACTTCAACCAGTAAATTCCGTAGCGTTTCATATACCGTCAATGACCAAATAAACGCCCACTTCCCAATAAACACCTCTTATCTATTAAACACCCCCTCTACGCTCTACGCCCCACTCTATTCAATGCGTTCAGTTTCGTCCTTGATTAACGAGGCTTTGCATATTTCATCTTGTTCTATGTCAAGTTCAAAGTAAGGATAGACTAATGATGGCAACACAATAACCCTGAGCGAAGATTCTGAAATCGAAGAGCGATATGGATCTCTAGACTCTATCTCTATCGATGGATTTTTATATTCCGCTATTTTTACACTCTCCTGATATTTTCGCGGAAAGCATATTAGTTCTGTTGAGCTAGTTGCAGTTATGAGAATAAAGGCCTCTCTCTTTTAAATGCCTGTCATCTATTAATCGCTCCCGCTTGGGCCCCCAGAATTATATAGACGCCCCGGGCGTTTATTAGGTCATTTTCGGTACCTGAAGCCGGAAAAAGGTACCCCTTTCAGGCGGAGCCTCCCCGTATAGGTCTTTATAGGAAGTACCTCCCCCCCCCCCGGGATGACCATAGAGATGACGGTCCCCGGGGACGTAACATAGACGTAGCACAGTTAGTACCTACTTGCCAAATACACTGACACAGGGAGACTTTTTAGGGTTCAAACAGTCAGTCAGTGAGAAACATATTGATAGACAGTCTCTTCTTCTTCCAGACAAGTGCCACGGATGTGCTGAAAGCCATGGGAGCTATGCCCAGCGGATTCCGATCAACCACTCTCGGCAAAATGGTAAAACAAGGCAAGTATCTTAACGTTGTTGTGATATGAGAAACATTGATTGGAATAGATAACTTTTGCTTTCGTGTCAGTGTTTGTCCATCAGTAATAATTATAATGCTTTAATTATCGTCTCTCCATCAGTATGGGGCTTTTCAGGGATAACGAAACAAATAATTTAAATGGATAACGTAAAAACCCCAATTGTTGGGATAACCAATTTTATGGAGAAAACTCAGGACTAACTGTTAAGGGAGGTTAATCAGTTGGCGAAATTTGAACTTTTGAGAGCTTAAACAGCAAATTGTTTTAAATTCTCTTTGCCTACAATTTTGACTGGGGACTAAAAGAATAAAGAAAAATCCAGCTTTTGATAAAAAGAAAAAGAAACCTGGGTAACCGGCGATCGAACAACTTGAACTCGGAGCCCCCGAATTACAAGTCGAGTTCGGCCCCCTCAAAGCTCGGTCACGCTGCCTCCACTAGTGTAGGGTACTAAGAGGGTCTTGATATCACTTGCAGTAACCACTAAAGGTTTTGTAATATTATTTAAAAGCATCGAAGTTTTAGCTATTTCACACCGAACACCATGAAGATGGTCAACTAACAGTAAACTTGTGGACCCTGAGTTGAGTGTTCAAACCTTAACTTATGTTTATTTGGTTCTTGTTTTGTTATTGCTGTTGTTGTTTGCAACTTTAGTAATTTTAAAGAGTTTTAGTATTAGAAGCCTCTCGTCATTCTTCCCCTGTATTGTGTAAGTTGGCTCAGCGAATACTTATCTAGTGGAAAATTAGGTGAAAGACTGAATGAGATTATTAGTCTAGATCATAAGTTCTCTCTGTAACGTGGCCTATTAGGCTCGCTTTGGCTGTTACGTGGTTGCTAACGTAACTGATGATTCATTGCAGAATCCTTTCAAACCAGCTCCTGGGTGATGCCAAAACTAAGCCGGTCTAACGTAGCTTATAAGGATATTTCATGGGATCCCGTCACTAAACAGGTAAGAACAGCAGTGGTTTGTCTTTGATGTACCGAATATGAGCTACTCACTGGTGAAAACCTCCGCTGTGGCTATGTAGATTTCTGCATTTACACTTAATGACCAAAAACAAAAAAGCCAAACAGGAATTAATTAGCTATTCAGATTACGTTTTGATATTTTTTTGATCGTCGGTATGAAAACACGAGTTTACTTTCAAAATGAGGCCAAGTGTACAAGTTCGGAAAATGAGTTTGATGATGGAAAAATTCATATCAAATTTGACGTTTTGACACAGAGAGAAGGTGTTATTCAATTTGACTTCAGGGCAGGTGTTAGCCAAGATGTTATCTGATTCATACTTTTGTCAGACCAGATCCCTGAATGTGGTGAACGCGCCTAACTTAATCGTATTTAGCTTTTTCAATTCTCTTTTTTAAATTCTCCTATGACAATGTGTTTGCAATAAGGTGTATACTAAGGGGTGACGAAACAAATATTCCTTTTTCATAGTTGCGACCGAGGGTGGCCAAAACCAACCGCATATTCCAAGTGCTAAGCGCAAGAATGGTACCTTTACCAGGAGCAGGTTAGTTGACTTGCGTAAACTTGGAGTTGTTTCAGTTATGTTGATCAGCCGGTTGAAGATGAGGTTACACGAGAGGATTCGCAACGACGATTTTTAGCGCAATGCAGCGTGGCAAAATTGCTACGACATTGTTTCGAATGGTTACAACATATTGTTCGAACACTCCAGTACTGTGTTGCGCTGAAAATTGTTGTTGCGAATCGTTCCG